TTTCAAGTTCGGGGATGCAATTACACAAAGGTCCCAGTCAGGAGCCGCGTTGTTCAGCAGGAAACCACTAGTATGGTAGGCGCCGAAAGTTGCTGTGGAATAGACTGGAAAAACAAAGCATTTATCACGGTTGACAGGTAACTGTCACTTAACAAAGCGAGTGTGCAGCAAATCAAGCGTCAGTTGTAATTTATCCGAATCTTAAAGCCTAGATAACTATGAAATTAGTGTAAGATCATCAGCTTTAATAAAGCAGTCGGTTTGAAGCGCCTCTGAATGGTAGTGTATGAAGATTTCAAAAACTTCGTGTCTGAGGTCGCAGCCATGTGAAATGCCAATGATTATGAGAACCGGTCCAGAGAGCACCTCATTCACCTGCACCACCATGGTGACACCACCTATTGAAACAACATTTCGAAACATAAAAAGGAGCCGTTCATGTGCAATCTTATCGTATTTTTCCTAAAATCAATATAAAAACATTAAAGTGATCCTCGGTGTCTACCGACTTGGCGTACTTCTCGCGGGCAACAAGTAGTTTGGTGGTACAAGAGCGTGCCGTCTGGAGACTCAAGATGAAGCTAAAGGAATCCAGTAAATACCCTTTCTATTAACTTGCAAATGATCGAGGTCGGGCAGATCGGTCTGTAGTTCCAAGAATCCTCTTGGTTTCCTCTTGGGGATAGACTTCCCAATACCTGTTTTCTAATTAACCGGAAGACGGCCAGGCTCAAGGGAGTGCCGAAAAAATTAGCAGACTGGCTCGGCGACATACTCAATGACTGTCTTCAAGAACAAGTAATGTAATTCATCAGATCCTGGCAAACAGACCGAATACAATTCAAGGATTCCCAGCACCATGTAAGTTGTACTTTCGGTATGTTCCAAGGGAGTGCATTGCGTGGGCACATGGTCACTGTATAACGGGGCCTCATCCTAGTACCCTGATGAATATTGCAAGGCAATAAGAAAGGCTTTCGCTTCATCTTCATGAAGTATAGCTTCATCGTCTTGCGAATACAATACTGATATACGACAATCCGCCTTAGTACTATTTTCAGATATGAGAAAAGTTTTTCGGGTCTTTGCAAGATTGCTCAGCCAGGTGACGCACGTCCTGTTCTCCGTTCCCTCTTTACATCAGTGCAAACAAATGGCTGAGCATCTTTTAACCATAATAATCAGACGCCGACCGTGAGAACTTGAATTTGTTCCAAGGGCTTTTGTTTTCTATCCAGCATGGCTATCAACTCTATACCACTCCAAAGAGATTCTTTGGAAATATACTGCCATTAACCGTTGGTCCAGGTTCGTTGATAATAGAGATCAATTTGAAGCGGAAGCGCTAAGTGGGATCTAGATCCAAGTTCTGGGGAGTACTCCAGTCCGTAGCACTTGCGATCATTTGTAGACGGAGTGAATCGGCGCGCCAGAAGTTCCGATGAGGCATGTTCGGGTGCTGAAGAGTGGGACTACTTGTTCAGAAAAGAGAAGCACACTATGATCAATTAACCCAAATAGCTGTACAATCGATAAATTAGACACATCGGATGTTTGAGGCGTGAAAATAACGTCAAGGGTATGGGGCGATTGTCCCGGCATTATCCGAGTAGGTGACGAGGCTTGTTGAGTCGCACCCACATCGAGGACAGTTTCGAGTAGCAAAGCAAGGAATGACCCTGCGCCAAAAGCTCAGTGAAGTTTATCTTAGTTGACGCTAGAGGCATTGAAGTCACCCAATATTAAGCACTCTGTGCCACTGCCGTGCAATCTTATTGAGTGCAGCAATCTGGATCCGGAGGCCAGTGGTGGTCTGTAGAAAACAGATCATACGCGGATTTTCCGTCGTGAATACGACACCAAATCTCTCCGAAACAACGACCGCATCACGAATAGCCCCTACGGTATGAGCTCTCAACTCGGATTTCTAAAAGAATATGACTCCACTTCCTTATATGACATCAAGATGATTATCCTGAGGTAACTAATAACCAGACGGGCATTTATAAGAATTCAGAATATCCGGGGACAGCCGAGTCTCTGTAAAAGCAATCAGGATGATACTGTAAACTGACAAGACGAATCACATCCGATTTATTTCGCAGGTTTTGCGCAGTGGCGGGTATTGCACGAAATCCAGTCTTAGACACTAGAGCCCGGGCGCAGCAATGGTCGTCATCGAGCTTTGAGAGTCTAAGGCACCAAAAGAAAATCCAAAGTACATCAAATAGCTTGACCAAACAGTCAGCGGGTCAGGCTTTCATTACGGGCGTTCTTCCTACTCATTCGGTCTTCAGGATAGGGATCAACAAAAACAATAAATTTTCCTTATGATGGGGCCAGCCTAAATAAACGATGATATTTCTCTTCATTTTGACAAGCGGTATTCAGTGCACGCACTATGGGAGTATCACGCTGCTTCATACCAAGGCCAAAAGCTGAAACAACACTGATCCTCTGGTCCTCCTTGTCGAATAGTAAAGAAAGCATCCTTTATATTAAGGTTTAACTATCCACAATCTTCTCGGCAAGCGTTTCCTTGGAAGATTCGGGAGCGTTCACGAGAAAACGAAATCGTTCACGAGGAGGTAATTTGCTTCCACGGGTAGTGCTTCAAGCAAGACTTCCAGTCGACCACATTTGTCAAGGACTTTCTTTAGTTGGGAAACTAAAGAGCTGTGTCTTAGGTTAAAGCTAATGTTTCTCTTAGAGTTTGGGAACAACTGAACTTAGACTCATACTAATATAGCCCGTTGACTAACTAATGTGGTTTATATTACTATAGACTAAAAATACTCATTTGGGTCTCGAGAACGAAAGGCAATCTAGTGAACAATTGCTTTCAATTATTCATCAGCAGACCACCAAAACCATCTAAAGACTAAAAAAAATCGATTCAGTTAGTTCAAAACAAATAGATCAAGCGGAAGTCTATGTCAGGAGGGAGAAAATGAATTAGGCCCTAGTGGGTTAGTTGGTTGCTACCACCTCTGACCGAAGGCAACCGACCTGGGCGTCTTCCTTCTTCGCTGTCCAGGGAAGTTGGAGCCTGGACCAGCTTCTCCTTTGAGCATATGGACGGCTGGAACAATCATATGCATATTACTTCGGCAGTCGCAAGTGTAGGTAGGCGGTAACCTTTCTTTCGGTGCGTCAGAAGCTTGTAAACTATGCGGAAAGCGCGTTTCTAATCCACCTCTTAGTCGTTGTCCACGATATGGGCCAGAATGACGCTACTAATAGTCCCGGCACCCGTTGACGCAGCCAAAGAGAGTACTGTTCGTTCAGCCGTTTGGATAACTGCCGCGCCATCCGACCAACATACATGGCACCACAGGCGCATTACCCTTGAGTTGGTCAACATCGGCATCTGGTCCTTGTTTTGTGAACGCATGTGTGGCACCGTTGAAAACACGCAATTCAACGAGGCTGCTGGGATGGTCAACATTATTGCCGCCGAAAGGCTTCTGGTTAGTCGATTGGTAGCCGAGTCCCAGTTGAATGGTGAACGCATAAACAGCTCTATTTTGCTGCTGTTGACACTGCTATTGTCTGGGTTTTCTTTGGATTTTCCGTAAAATGAATTTATCGGGATAACCGTTTTTACCTAGAGTATTCTGTATGAAACTTAGCTATGCGTCTAGGGTGCATCCGTACAAATTCGACGTGCTCTTTATGTAAGACAGTGAACAAAGTTGCGCCTGTATCTCACAGGAATAAAACTGTGAAGATCCTGTACTGACCTACCCACGTGGTTTCTCAGTAAACCTGGCGCAGGATGAATCTGTCTGGTTTCCTAGTTAACAAGACATTGAGATATGGTAGCTGGTTATCGTTTTCCTTCTCGTAAGTAAACTGCACTGCAGCATTCATTCGGTCAAGCATTTTTGTTGCAACTTTTTCTCCTTTTTGTTGTATATTTTTCTCCTTTCTTCTTCTACTATTGTAGCACAGTAGCTGAGGTTTTTTCCACCTCTAGCTGACGTGTATAATGTAGGTGTATGTGGGCAAGAAGTTCATCCAGAGTAACATGTTTATCCACCACAACAAATATCGCATTCATGTGTCGATGGTAGCGGTCAGAAAGGTCTATCGCCGCCCGCATTTCGATTCTCACTAGCTTTGACATGAACATATCCGCAGAAATCGGTCCGAGAAGGGATCCTGTGGACATGCCGTGCTTCTGCCGGCAGTACTTCCTGTTGAATAGAAACTGTACATTCCAGTTGCAGCATAGCAGTAGTCCTTTGAACTAGCGCCTAGGTATCCACACTATTATTCCTGACTCACCTAGATAGTCGCAAATATAATCCACTTTCAAACCACTGGGACGCTTGTAAAAAGAGAGAAGACATCGTGAGCATTTCTTTTTCATCTCTGTTATCATCCTTGATGCATTCGAGGAAATGGATGTTGTCAAGAAGGCTTTAGGTAGCGTGCTGTCTTCGCACAGGTTCAAGACCTCCTACAAGTCACTGGGCGACGGCATGGTACTGTAAATTGACCATTGATAAAATAGGACGAAGTGGGAGGTTGGTTTTCTGGATATGTGGTAAACCGTAAAGTCTTGGGACGCTTGTGCCACTCGGTTTAAGGCTGACATACAGAGCATCTGAAATGTACTCATTGGCCCGGAGTTCTTGCATGCTCTTAGGTATCTGTGTTTCAAGTTGTTCAGTTTGGTCCCTTTCTCCTTCAGTACACGCAAACTCTGTCACATCGCACAGGATTGTTGTTAGTTTATTTATGTAATATTTGCTATCAAGTAAGACGGTTCCACAACCTTGGTCCGGTCAGCACAGGACGATTTCCTCATTGCGCTTTAGTTGCTTCAATGCATCCAGGTGCCTTTATGCTAACGGGTCCTGATTACGGATCCGGTGTTGATGATACTGGTAGTAACAGTTCACCAAATAGCCCTTAGAAGTTTAAGATCCCTGTTTGATTTAGCGACTGACTTTTTCGTCTAACCATATAAACTTACAAATTATAACTCAAGCGAGCTGGTTATCCCTGCGCCTAGGAGGGCAATACTTTAAGCCAAGAGATAGAACTTCCATCAAAGTTGTGTACAGTTTCAAACTGGAAACCTTGTGTACAAACCTGTCTGGCCTATTTGAAAACGTAGCTTGCGGCTTAAGCTGGCCTAGCGACTTTACTAAAGAAGACCGCCTCCACTGTGCACGGTTGTCAGTGATAGATTGAACATAGTCCAGAAACATTTTCTTTTCTTCCGCAGTTAACTCACCCGTTGCTGTGTGGCGCTGTGCTGGTATGGTTTCGTATGCAGCGAAGTTGGATTGCGCTGTATCACGTTGATTTAATGCATGTCGCCGAAGGGTCTTGCTACTGGGACAGATCCGAGCACGGCGCAACTGCTTCCACAAGCTGGTCGGCAAGTGGCGCAGAACTGAACACAACATTTTGCATCAGCAAGCTAAGTAGAGAACTTAAGGAACTGATTGAGCTCCTTCACCGCTAATGAGGGCTTCGATGACTTAAGTAACTAGAAAATGCCCATTTAGGTCTCGAGGACGAAAGACAATCTAGTGAGCAGTTGCTTTCACTTATTCATCATCAGACCATTAAAACCATCAGAAGGCTAAAAAGAAAAGTCAACCCAGTTAGTTCAAAACGAATAGGTCACTCGAAGGTCTATGTAAGAGATGAGAAAACGAAGTCGGTCTTAGTGGGTTAGTTATTTGCTACCGCGTCTGACCGAAGTCAGCTGACTTGGGGGACTAAGTTCTTCGCTGGCTAGGGAAGCTGGAGCCTGGACCAGCTTCTTCTGTAAGCGCAAAGACGGCTGGAACAACCGAATGCACATTGCTTCCGCTGTCACTGGTGTACGAAGGCTGTGACCTTTGGTTCGGTGCAGCGGAACCTTTTAAACTATTTGGAAGGCGCGTTTCCAATCCACTTCATGGCCGTTGTCTATAATGTTGGCCAGAGTGGCGCTACATGAACGTTCACAATTTCGTTCCTATGTGATACAAGCGCAACTTGGTTCACTTGATTCACTGCCCTCCTGTCGACAAGCCCATGTCCAACATAGCGGTCCACCCCAGTTCATCTGCTTCCATTTAGAGCCCACGATCCTCCTTCAAATTGGCATGCCTCAATGTATGCACATTACTACAGAGCGGTCAACAGGCAGCACTTACCCGAAACTTTGAGACCCCTTGATCGATATCTGCTGCTTAGCAAAGACCCGCCTGCAGCTCTCGAGCTCTGGGCTAACTCTGCTATCCTCTTCAGGTCAGGCAAGCGTTATGTTTGCATTGCGCCTATCCTGTGACGATGCAGCTTCGAGCACCGGTCGAGCTGGTGTTGGCATTGGCCTGGGTCCCCGGACTGAAGCTGCTCTAGTTGACTGGAATCAGATCAGTAGCCGGTTGTGTGCGGTCCGATTAGCTGGCTCGCTTAAATCTTCGAAGTCGCGCGCGACTAATAGGTGGCTATTCATTGTCGCTGCCTACGCGCCAACAAACTGTGGCGATGATCCAGAAAAGAACGACTTCTACCGCCAACTGACCCAGCTGCTTCGCCCTAGAAGAAGCGCGGACACTGGGTGCTGGCGCTGGATCTGAACGCGCAAGTTGGAAAGTTGTCCACTGCTGAAATGCGTCTGAGTGGGCAGCACGATGTAGGCCCCGTAATGATAACGGTGAGCGGTTGCTTCATTTGTGTGATGTTGCTTGCACTAATTTCCGGCAAAACTCCCACCGGAGAGTGACTTGGCACCCACCAGCCTTAGACGCAGATCAATCATATGGCTACCAGTTACCGCAGGAGTGGCTGCATCAAGAACTGTCACTCGATTTGGAGCACATGTGTGGACACCGATCATGCACTTGTATGTGCTGATATGCAGATGCCTTTTGGGGGATGCCCACGACGACGCTATTAGCGCATTGACAACAGATAACTGACAAAACCAACTGTTCTGAATGCGTATCAAAGTACGCTAATATGCGAGTTGTGTAAGCTCCCATTAAAGAAAATTGATGGTCACTGGTCACATGTGCACCAGACCTTACTAGCAGCAGGCATATCCTCATGTGGTAAGTCTAACAGCCAACACGTATTTGGGTCCCTTCGCGGTCTCTAAAACTTGTCGACGCTCGCCGGCATATCCCGGCTGAAAGCGAACACTACGAAACTCGCAAAGAGCTCCGGGCAAGACTAGGTGCTATCCTGAAGAGAGACCGCGAATCATGGTGGTCACATCGTGCGTCCGAGAAGAAAGTGGCCGCTGCCCTTGGCAGTCATCATAAGCTATCCCGTCTGATACGGGAAATGGGCAGTAGGAGATTTGGTGTTAGTGATACTATACATGACGAGAGTGTACAGGCAATACACAATTTGTCAAAACGTTTGCAGCGTTGGGCTGAGCATTTTGAAAAGCAATTTAATCGGCTAGAATTGTTCAAATCTTTGCCGGCCAGTGATCGCACTGCTCCCTGGGCTGTCAATTTAGATCCACCCTCTCGCTCAGAAGTGGAACTTGAGATCCGACTGTTGAAGTTGATCAACGCCGCGGGAGCAGATTACCTTCCTCCAACCCTCTTTAAATACGGTGGCTCTGCTCTAGTAGATGCTTTACATGAATTGTTTGTGAAACGAGGGGAGCACGAGACTATCCCAAACATCTGGAGCCACTCCGTTACCGTTCCCATCTTTAAAGGAGGCTCGCGTTTGGGATGCGGTAACCGTAGAGGAATCAGCCTGATCTCCATTGCCTCCAAATTACTCGTCTCCATACTCCTTCACAGATTGACTGGCGCTCATGAAAGCCAGATTCGTGAAGAGTAAGCCGGGTTTCGTTGGGATCATGGCTGCATTGACCACAACTTCATCTTGCGTCAATTGTTGAAGCACTCTCACCATATTGGCGGCCCACCGTAGTCGTGTTTCTCGACATCAAAAGTGCTTTAGATTCGGTTGCTCGATGTGCCTTTGGAATTGTCCACTTAGGAAAGGTGTGCTCGAGAAATATGTAAATATTATCCGAGCATTATACGCGCGTAGCCCTAGCAGAGGTAGGGCTTACGGCAAGCTGTCGCCACCCAGCATTTTCTCTAGCGGTGTGAGGCAAGGATGCCCGTTGTCACCTTTCCTCTTCAACTTTGCTATTGACGAAGTCATGGAGACTGCATTTACAGGACATGATTTGGAAGGTGTGGAGCTACTCCCAGGACAACTACTTCTTGACTTGGAGTATGCAAGCGACATTATTCTTATCTGTGACAGCTCGCAGGGGCGCAAAGCCGCGCTGGATAAATTAGCACTGGCTGTCAGTCGCTTCGGGCTTTGCTTTGCACCATTGAAGTGGCAAGCGTTTTTCTAAGATTGACAAGGACCGCTTCTTGCGCTAACCCTGGTTAGGGATCAGCTAAAAGTCGTTCGGAAATTCAACTATCTGGGAAGTGGTATCAGCGCCCTTGGGATCGAAGACAAGATCATGAACCGTATAACAAAACTCGAAGTGCTTTTGCTAACCTTCGCCATCTATGGCGGCGGCGCGACATTACTCTCGCCCTGAATGGTAAAATGGACAATGCAGCGGTACTTTCGACCCTACTGTACGGTTGCGAAACCTGGCCCCTAAGATCGGCGGACAGGAAGAGGCTAGTTACGTTCTACTACTAGTGCCTCCGCGGTTTGGCTCACATATGGTGGAAATAGTGCAAGTGTAACATGCTTGGTCGACGCCTTGTTTACGATACAGGAAAATGAACTGAACCGCTCAGCTCCGTCATTTCACGTACCAGGCTCCGATGGCTGGGCCACGTGTTACGCATGCCAGCCCACAGGCTTCCGCGAAGTGCGTTGTTTGCACACCGGGGATGTGAATAGAAGAAGAGGTGGGGTAGCTAAGCGATGACATGGTAGAGAGGAATGAAGACCCTCACTTTGGAGCTGACCTCGTTCGGAGCGTCAAGGCTCCCTGATTGAGGTCCAAAAGATGGTGAACACATTTGGCTGGATACACTTGTTGACATGGCAAGGAGCCGACCTCAGTGGCCCTCCTGCTGTGATTCTGCTTGTCTCTCCCCTCCATTTTAGCCACCACCACCACCAGCGATCACATTTCGTAGCGTTAAACATACTAATCTTCCTTTTTGCCTAGTAGCCAGCAGGTAGCTTACCGGAACGATGCCTATCCGTTGCAGGTAGCTTAGCTGGCATGTAACTGTTGTATTAATTTTCCTTTTCCCTTATGTATCTCGGCACAGTAGCTGAGGTGTTACCCACCGCTAGCTGAAGTGTAAAATGATGATGATGTCTTACATAAAGGGCACGTCGAATTTGTACGGATGCACCCTAGACGAAGTGCTAAGTTTCATATAGAATACTCTAGGTAAAAACGGTTATCCCGATAGATTCATTTACGGAACATCCAAAGAAAACCCAGACAATAGCAGTGTTAACAGCAGCAAAATAGAGCTGTTTATTTGTTCACCATTCAACTGGGACTCGGCTACCAAGCGACTAACCAGAATCCTTTCGGTGGCAATAATGTTGACCATCCCAGCAGCCTCGTTGAAGTGCATGTTTTCAACGGTGCCACCCGTGCGTTCACAAAACAAGGACCAGATGCCGATGCTGACCAACTCAAGGGTAATGTATCAATTCGTGTGCGCCTTTGGTGCTATGTGTGTTGGTCGGACGGCGCGGCAGTTGTCCAAACGGTTGCGCGAACATTACTCTCTTTGGCTGCGTCAACGGGCGCCGGGGCTATTAGTAGCGTCATTCTGGCCCATGTTGTGGAGAAAGACTGAGGTGGATTGGAAACGCGCTTTCCGCATAGTTTACAAGCTTCTGACGCACCGAACGGAACGTTACCGCCTACCTACACATGCAACTGCCGAAGTAATATGCATGTGATTGTTCCAGCCGTCCATATGCTTGAAGGAGCAGCTGGTCCAGGCTCCAACTTCACTTGACAGCAAAGAAGGAAGACGCCCAGGTCGGCTGCCTTCGATCAGAGGCGATAGCAACTAACTAACCCACTAAGACCTAATTCGTTTTCTCCTCTCTGACAAAGACTACCACTTGATCTATTTTTTGAACTAACTGAGTCGATTTTTCTTTTAAGCTTCCAGATGGTTCTGGTGGTCTGATGATGAATAAGTGAAAGCAATTGCTCAGTAGATGGGTTTTTGTCATTATCTTTTGTCTCCCATTGCCTTTGCCGCTTACGCGTTGCCAATGTTTTGTGAATATAACATTTAAAATTACACAGCGTCCTTATTGAGGAGTGGTTTTGCAAGACGCTCATGTATGTAGAAACAAGCGGACGTAAGGTTGTTCTACTGTATTGACCACAAGTTGAACAGAAAATCAATGTAGCTGTGCAACGTTTATCCATCAATATGTTTAGACAAGTCATCCTAATGCTTTTGATAACCGGTGCGGTGGAGCGTCCATTTTGTGCAAACGTGGCGCGACAACACGGGGGCAATATGCAGCCATCCGTCGCACAAAATTCCTGAACAACTTTAGAGCAGTACGTAAGGTTTTGTCGCATTTCAAGCATCTGGTGTTTAAGCTGCTTAATATCTGACAACTTTCCCGTGTTCAGAAGCCCTCCAAAGAAACGATATCCAGTAGCTATTACTAGCTGGATGGGGAGAACCCAAAGGCAGTCTTTATCGGGCAAAACCAGCGGATGCATGGCAATGAATTATTAGGCAGTTTCGATTAGATGACGGTTTGAGAAACTAAAAGAATAAGCGCCATCACGAAATAACGGGAGCCTGTGCATAGTAAGATAATAAGAAAGCAAAGCTGGACTGAGTGCAAACATGTATCATCATCAATTTTTTCGACACGTCACACTGCCCGACCCTACTACAAAGTACACTAATGGAAACAATTCTTATTCCCAGACGACAGTCGAAAAATACGAAAACAGTCCGCCCTTTATCCAGGAAGATTTAAGTCAAGCTAGGATGGCAGTTTTAGAGATGAGATGACATTCAGTAGGATATTCAGTTTAGACTACTTTCCACTTAGTATGCTTAATCGACAAATGTGGGAACAAGTGACCGACTAATTTGTGTACCCATGGCCATCCCAGTGGATATAGGACGTAAAATGTTATGCAAACATTTTGTAACCGTACCTCCGACCCATGAAGTGCATGCATTTTACTAGACAAAAATGCTACCAGCACGTCACGCAAAACTAGTTTCTGATAGATTCAGCACTAACACGTGGTTAAAGCTAAATCCGAAACTTTTGGTGGTGGCTTTGTGTACGGAACTTACTGGGCCAAAAGCACGGACTCGCGATGTTTGACACTACAGTCAAGCGAATACGCCAAGAAACGAGCTGCCGACAGTAGTAACTTCATCCTTTTTATACAAGCTTTAGCAGGATATCACCCTTAATTGTCCTTTTTACCAGCTGGGTTGACCATCGTTTAAAAGCCCAGCCAACACACAATTGAGCAACGAACTCTAAAAGACTGACTAACAATGTGTACCAACGTCAGCGTTCGTTCACAGCCTTGCTTTTATTATTTCATTACTAATTTGTAAGAGCAGTAGAATACGGCGATGGGAATGCATGGGTCTACCTCTTTAATGCATTTAAAATCGACGGGGCATCAGTTCAGAAATTAGCAAATAAATATAGCTCCTGCAAGTGTAGACGTTCGTAGATAGCCGAGAATTAGTAGGTCGCGCCCAGGCCGGAAACGTGCATGCCTATTGACTCAAACAAACACCAGCAGCATTCCAATATGCGATCCCGCGTGTTCCCTAGGTACACAAAGGACTGTAATTTAACAATCCTGAAGCTTTTATCCAGCATTCGATAACCAGAGGGAGACTGCCAGTTGCTACCGGGCTGAAAATTAACGGCAACCTATCGGCCAACCTAGATCCTTAGATACAGGATCACACGCAAATGAATAGCCGCTTGGCTACAGATCAAATGTCAGGATGTTACAATAAGCTTATAATATATATGACAATATTGCATGTTCATGTTCAGGTGGGACTAGAAGGATAAGAGAATTTTGCGTCGCTTTCTGCGAGGATATATGTGCTATGGTTAGACCTATGTCATTTTAGTTTCCTAGGTCACTTTTTGTTACAAGTGACCAAAAACGGGGCTATCGGATGACGGACCGTCTTACTTTAACGGAGTACGCACAAGGCTAACACAAAAAATAAGAGCGGTCACGATGGGCCATGGCAGTAGCGGTTAAAGCAGAGACATCCTAATACAACGTTGAATGAAAATCTAAAGGTGGCTTTCATTAAAATACAGCATATGAAAGTGTTTCGCGAAAAGCGGAAATTACATAGAATGCATATATGTTGAAGAATTCCGTATCAGTAATAATAAAAAAGTAATTTAAAGGAGATCTACATGCTTACGTGCACGTGTGGTTTAATCATGTAATGCATAAGAGTAGATGAAATAGCACTTCAAATAACGTGATATCACGAAAACCAAAGGGCGATTTAAATGCTGTTCAATCAAGCACCGCTAACTTTACCGGTTAAAACAAAACGTCAGTGAGTAAATAACAACAACAAATAGTATTATTGCTTACTCTAACAAAGTTTGCATCGTTATACAGCAGTCGCATTGCAAATTATCCCTTCGTTTTAGAGCACCTGAGCTAATAACTTTCAGGTCAAGTTTTCAGGGACGAAACAGGCCTTCGCATTATCAGCGTGTTGGTTCGTGTGCTGGTATGCAAACCATTGCCCCCGGTACTTCGAGGTACACGGCTCACTACTGTAGAGACAAAAAGCGTAAATGAAATATCTCATAAGCTCATCAGACTATTCGTGAATTCGAGTTGGTAATAGTTGAAATCCACTAACTGCAGAGCAGTTTCGGAATTAGACTCTTGTAACGCATCTCAAGGCCACTTCAAAATGCTGTTATACCGTAACAGTAATTGCAACTACCTAGCACACAGTTAGTGAAAATGTTCGCCTGGATATCCAGTCTGACCTGTGTCATAAACTTAATACGTGGTCCGCACATGTGGTTTGACGTGGCTTGTACAACGTGATCGGTAGGCTTAAGGCCACTGCGACACTTTGTGACCTTAATCCCTTCCATTTGGTCTGCTTTTAATCAGTCTTGTTCCAACGAAACAAGCCTAAAATTCGGGTCGCTCAACGTACGACTTCACACCCTGGACTTCAGTCATTATGTTGGTCAGTAGTTGTACCTACCTAAGCAAGCAACTTCTCTCAAAACTAAGTTGCTCAAGCGTAAACACAATATTCTTATGTCGGTCGATTCATAACGCTTTACAAAGGAGGACCTCAGGTTTAGTCTTACCCAACGCTCTCCTGAAGTTAAGAAGCTGCTGAATGTTAGGAGAAGCACCTCCTAACGAATGGCTCAGTGAACCCAAATGATGTGCATGGCTAGACCATAAACGCGTACATTCGTCTGCCGTAAATATTGTTTGATAATTTGGGCTCTGTGGTCATTGGCCCTAGGGTGCCTAGCACGTCCGGTTGCGGTACCTTTTGTGACTGATGTTTACGCACTGCTCTTTACCTTTCCTTCTCATTTGCCTAGAATTCTGACTGTACCCGGGATAACGAGGCCCAATGCACGGCAATTTTCTTCCCCTGCGCCTCTTCTCTCTAGATTCTGTCAGTTTTCAGACTACGAAATTATGAGTACTTCCGCGTAATTATTCTCAACAGCTACTCTTAGCACTGCCGTCTGCATTCATCCATTTCTCGCCAATTCTCCACATTTCCTTTTCCTCTTGGAATGCTTTGTTACCTACTGCTTTCTCCTGCTTTTGGTCCTAATCTAGTTGACCTTAACATCACCTAAGCTGTTCCTCGAATTCTGACTGCTGTTATCGGTGTCGGTTTATATATGTTTCTCTCCAACAAACAAATTATTCGCTCGATTTTGTCGTTTAATCCTGCGCGTGCGGAACCTTCCTCCTAAGTAGTATTTGCCATCTGCGCCACAACAGTGACTCCATGTAAAGAACGCGCTTGCAAATCGTGTATACTACCCAAACTTACATAGGTTTTAGAATATCACAGGCACCGGTGCGTGCCACCAGTCTTTCGCAATTGCTTCTTGCTTCATTGCTGTCTGTCTGACTGGCTCTTGTCTGTTGCACGATTTTCCCCGAGGTTTCCACAGTTACATCTCACGACCCAAGGTTTCTTCACTAGGAATGTCTGGCCCATTCTCAAGAGCCAGTTGGATTAAACACTCGATTCTTTTCCCGCCATATAAAGAACCCACTCACCACTACAGATGCAGCTCGTTTCACCATTCTGGAGATGCAATTTGTACGGGTCTAAACAAATTTGTTCCGCTGGCTTCATACTCACAGTATCCCAAGTTAATCACCCGGAATAATATATTTACGTGGATCCCCTGTTCACCAAATGACGCCAGATAATTCTGTCTTGGTTACCTTCACTGAAACGGACAGCTTTGCTTATGCACTCCAGCGTGCAAAAGATTGGTTTCGTTGCCCCACTTTTCAGGAAGAGCATTCTGATTTTTCATACAACTGCAGCTATTTCGATCACATTTCATGGACTGCTTTACTGAGCCTAAATGGCGCCCGAACAAATGCATCATGCCACCCAGAACCTCAATGCTACAAGGTACGCCATTAGGGAACTACCTAAAAGTGCGGGACTTAGGTGTGCACTAATCCTTCTGGTTGAACTTCGAGGAACAAGTAGTTTATTCCGCAGCTAAAGCACGCTCTCTCATCGGATATATCCTCAAAACCATGATAATACAAGAATCTAGATCTACGCTCTACAAAACATGCGCCCGGCCTCTGCTAGAGTACTGCTCTATAGTTTGCACCAACCGAAGAAAATGCGACAGAATAGCGCTCGAAAATGTTCAGCGTATCTTCACACAACGCCTCCCGGGTTACTCAAGTCTCTGCTGCCGTGATTGCTGCAATACGCTTAAGCTCGACCCGTTATGGCTGCGCCGAATGAAAACTAACCTTGCTTTTCTATAGTCGCTTATTAACAATCGCATTGGGAGCCAACTAACCGCTGTCTGGCTCCTATATCACTTCGTACTACGCGATTGACCCCACTCCATTATCCTACCAAGTACGCGCAGTAGTATTCGCTCCAACTTCTACCGCTACAGATACGCACATGTATGGAATAGGTTACCTCTCACAATAAGGGCATCTATGCATACAAACCAGTTCCGCTTCTCTATTAGCTAGTGCCTCTCTGTCACACAACTTTCCAAACTAGTGAATATCAATAAATAATAATAAAGAGGAGTTTTTTGAAACTGGACCAGACCACTTACAACCGCCTCTTCTTACATTCCCACGCACTCTCCTTCCTGACTCCTAATATTCCTATCTGCCTGCTTCTTCCAACCACCCCTTAAGTCTTCCAGCAACTGGGCACCAGCCACCGGAAACCGAATGCCACTGCATTCCCTCAAACCTCCCACAACTGGCTAGCTCTAGATTTCCGCTTCTGGCTATTCGCATAAACTTAACTGGATACTACCGAGATAGTGAAGCCGACGTGCACGGGATCTCTAGTACCAGTTGATGTTGCCAAAATATATCCTAATCGCTACGCTGATGCCCGTCTCTCTTATACTTAAAAAATAAATATATATATATATAATTATATAAATAATAAATAAATATTTTTTCTCGACAAAGCGAGGCACGCCTTTTGAGCATGATCAGCATATTGCAATATTGTACATAATAGCAGAATAAGCAGCACCAACAGCGGGAGTAGTACAGTTGGAGACAGTAGCGTGGGCCCACAGTGCCCAAAGGTTCTATGAAGTCTATGTACACAGAATGAGAGAGGTATAGATAGTAATCAGATCATTTATATGGTATGTTGATGAGGAACTAATCCGATGAGGTCCCGTACGCAGTGTAGGTCAGTGAGTGAAGTATGACTAAACGAGTGAAAAATACTTAAGAATAATGGCATGTCACTAATCAGATATGTAGACGTGTTTGTACGAGAGCAGATATATGCACAGAACCTGTAAATGTGATGTCGGTCAACTTGCCAATGTGTTAGGAGCCGTGACTTTATTGAGTGGCGAGTCACATCCGCCACGTCGCAGTGTTGTTAAACAGACATTTGTGGCTTTTTGTAGGGAAAACGCTTGCCAGACGAAGACCCACCACGTTCTGGAACACTGCCGGCTGGTGATATAACGTTGGAAAGATTTTATCTGACGATTATCCTCGCGGATATTCGCAGTCACGTAACGCCAATTTGTTTCCCATGGCTGTGTAGCCGCCTTCGGAGTCCAGTGCAAGTGGTTGGGGCTGCTGAAGTCGGACTACTCAGGTGCCTTGTATTGAGTTGATCAGTTTTCTAGGTTCTTTAGTGTGTCATGATTATGATGTGCGGGTTTTTTCTTTGTTCTTTATTCATTCCGTTCCCATGGGAGCCTCGCAGGTATGTCCTCAGCGGTGTTCCGTGCAGGTAATGTTATTCCGTAGAATAGGGGGGAGAAGATTAACGGACCGAGCAAACAGCCAACAAAATTGGGCATGGCTACGTTATTGTATAAATATAAAATTTATGATAAAGTTGTGTTGGTTGAAAGCAAATGGAGTGACCGTATATGTTGTGCATCATATCCTTATCCGTAGATTTGCGATGTAGCACGAGACCCGATATTTGCTGAATGTGAGAGAAAGATGCTGCCTGAAGTGGCCTAGCGTACGCAAAAGTGGTCCTATTTGGAAACCGTGAGTATCAGGCTTTGTTAACCGGTAAATGAGTTGAGGGAATCAGAAGAACATAGTGAGTGGTTTAATAAGCGCTTAAGATATAAGTTGAGCGATTTGTTGACAGTGCTAGAGCTTATCGTTCGAGCATGTACGAGAGCCAGTGAAGTTATTACACCGGGTTTGAGGCCATGAAAATAATAACGCAACATGTTCAGCAATCGAATGCTAGGCAGCTGGGTGAATGAGTAGTACGTAGAGTCAAATTTGTGACGAGAATGGGATTTATATACCACAACGGTAGTGACAGTGCTGTTGCATAGCTAGCCCTAAAGGGACCTCGAATAGCGGAAAATGACAGGAACTTATACAGTGCAGCAAACAGGTCAAATATGCGACAGGAAAGGGTGATACTGGGAGTCGGGTTAGTTTTGTGGAAGAAAGTGCTTGATGACAGCTCTTCAAGTGTAATGATAGTAGAGAGAAGGGCTTGAAAATGGTTGTAGGGCCAGCGCTGAAGGGGACCTGGAATATCAGTATTGTGAGCCGTAGTCGCAAAAGATGCTACGTGTGCCAATCTTATGTGGACATCCGCGGTGGAAAGTTGAAGGCAAATAGACTGCTATTTATAACTCACTAATTGGTGTGTTGCTGGCAACCTGATTAGTTAGTATACAGGAGCGCCACGCTTTATTAGGCTCAGCATAGTCTGATAGGTGTACTGTGGAATACAAGAGAGAACAGACAGCAATACTGGCGATAGCTGTAGAGAGAAAACG